ACATTTATAAAATTATTTTAAAATTTTAGTTATTGTTATTAAATAACAATATTTATTTTTATCTTAAAATAAAAATATGGTGACACTCGATTAGCTTTAATGTTCGTTTTTGTTCAATCTTTCTCCATCTTCAATATACTGGGGGAGTGAGAGACTGATTTGAAAAACCGCAGGAGGGCCCTTTCATCTTCTCGCTTTTTTTTTTCCCGGGGAAAGAGGGAAAACCAAAACACTGACAAGAGTTGTGAGACTGTAGGGGCGGGGCTTCTTCTTTAATCTCTCAAATGGCTCCTCCTTCCAAAGTTCTGATGGTAATCGATAAAGGAGAAGATCGTTTTTTATTTTATTGATTTTTCTTTTCCTGTTTTGTTTGAGAAAATCTTGCTAGAGTTTTTTTTTTTTTTTTTTGTTCTAATGCTTCATCTTCCGCAGGTTGCAGAGAAGCCTAGTATCGCTCTTTCTATTGCTTCCGTTCTCTCCCGTGGCCAGGTACGCCTTACTCTCTTCCTATGGTTTTCTATATTCCATTTCGTTGATTTTCTAAACATATATTTTATTTGAGGTTTGGAAGCTATCAGGAAATAGTTTGTTCCGAGAAATTGAAGAGCTGAAGTTTTGTGAGCTTTGTGTAGCATAATCTGACATTTCAGCTTTAGAGATTGTCATTATGTAGACGATTGAAAATATACAGTACTACTGCTTTGTTTGTTATATAAAGAGTTTTGTTATGTTTGAAATTTGAAAAGGAGGATTTCCTCCTAATTTCTGAGGGTCGATTGTGCCCCGTGGATTTCAACGGAGAAGTTTGATGTTACATGAATTCATCCAGATGACTACGAGGAGAGGAAGCACGGAGGTCCATGAATTTGATGGAATATTTATGGAATTTTCTGCACATTACAAAGTAACATCTGTTATAGGCCATGTCTTCAGGTTATTTTCCTGCCTAATGTGTCAGTATTTCCTTTTTATATGCATTTTTTCACAAGTACATGCTTCATTTCCGTGATTGTTCAAAATATTTTGATTCTAGGTTATGCAGAGAATTTTGACTACTCCCAATGGGATCAGTTTTACCGTTATTCCGCTTGTTCTCTGCAAATAGCAAATCAGACTTTTTGAAATAGTGTTCATATGTTATTTTTAGCGGCTGTTGAATATTTCTTTCCTGTTTGGATGGAGTTAGATATGTAATTGAGGAAGAAAACGTAAGCCTCTGAAATTTTATTTTAAATCATTTAGTTTTTTGGTCTTAACTGATAACTGGGAATGCTAGCATACTTTCTGGTTGAGAATCACTAGAACAAGATATTTGTCCCACAACTAGCTTGCCTGTCGCGGATTGCATCTGGCATTGGCTTGATGCCTCGTTTATTTTCAGCAACACATTTTCACTTATCTTAATTCTTCATAATAAATAGAAGATCCTGGGTTAACCTGTTTATTTGGAGGTGCTATTCATTGTTTCTCTGCTCATAGAACATACCTTTGAATTAGACTTTTATGTTTGTTTGTGCATTCCATGACTTGAATTTCATACTATAGATTTCTCATTGTGATTTTTTCTTTGGTAATATTATTTTTGCAAATCTAGTGTAGATTTTCCAGGGTCATATCAAGATTGGACAGCAACAGATCCTATAGATCTTTTTCAAGCACCAATTCGTAGGACAGAAACAAACCCAAAGGTAATAGAACATGATGCTTTCGACTGTTTCATAGCTACACTTGTTTTCTTATTATAATCTTTTGGAAATTTGAATCTAAAATGGCTTGTTTATAATTTTTCTGTCATTATCCAACACTAAACAGCAGAAATTGATGCCTGTTTTTACATTCTTGATTTTTTTGGAATTTGTTAGATGAAATATGATTTTAAAAAAAAAGTAAAAGTGTAATATGTATTGCTATAAGTACCAACTGGTGCAGATCATGTACAATTATTTACAGCTTAATCCTCCAAACAGAAAGTATTCCTAAATATTTGGACCATAATCGGAGGATGACTGGAAAGCAAAAATTCTAGGGTCCTGAGCCATCTATTTTTCAGTACATCAAAACCCTTAATATCCTCAATTCCATCAAAAGCTTTACAATTCCTAACTTTTCATACAACCCACAAAATACTAAGAGGAATAATGTCTGCCGAAAAACAGCAGCTTTTCAAACTCTCCCAAAAGCCCCAATCTCCTCCCTTACCAATCCTGACATGACCCAGTGATCCCTAGGCATCTGTACATCCCACACCACAGTGGATACGTAGCAGGACAGTGAAGCAGAAGGTGGCAGCAAGACTCTTCAGCCTGTTTGCATAGGTAGCAAGCATTAACCAAAATGAGACCCCTTCTCTTTAATTTATCAATTGTTAATATACACTCTCTGCTAGCTTCCCAAGCGAAAAAAGAAACCCGAGGAGGCACTTTTGCCTTCCAGATCTGTTTGAACGGGAAAATATTCCTTTCACCATCAGTCAATTGTGCTGGCTCATCATGCTGCATCAATTTTTTGTACCAGGATTTCACCATGAACACCCTTTTTTTTTGTGATATTCCACCAAGGCTGTGTTTGTTTGAAACTGTGTTTGCTTGAGGCTTTGAGCACCTGCATGTTGTTGCATGTGTGTGAGCCTATGTTGCATGCAGATATGTGTTTGCACATGCATCCCTAGACCTGCACGTGCATGCTACTACGTGTATAGTTAAATTAGAGCAAACTTGTATGCATGATTGAGTGTTTTTGGCCATGCATGCATTTCAAAAATATGCTAAGTTTGCATGTCATGTACTTCATTTGGTGCAAAAGGTTTGGTTGGAGAAAAATTCATGCTGTCCATGCTGGTATCCGGATTCATAGAGTTAATTCTTAAATGTGGGGTTTACAGAGAAATATGTTGTAAAACATTTTCTATATTCAAAATTTCCATAATTTGCTTATACAGAACCCTGTGATCTTTGAAGGTGTTCTTTGTGTTTGTTGAATTTGTGTGAAGAAGAAAAATAAACTCTTTCATTTGGTTGTTTGTGAGTACGTGCATTTTGTTTTTATGTTTCATCGACTATGAGCTTTTCTTCAATTTCATTTGTGATTGTTGACTACCTTTTCTTTGTAATAAGGCTCATATCTGTAGGCATCTAAGTCAAGAAGCTCGCAGCTGTAGTCATTTGGTATTATGGCTAGATTGTGATCGTGAAGGAGAGAATATATGTTTTGAAGGCAAGGTTTTCCTTTTTTACCTTTTCTGGAAGCATTCAGTAACATATATTATAAAACCTGTTATTAAGTGTTTGCTGTCTCTTTCTTTTTGGTCCTAGTTTCTCCTTGAGGTAGAGAAAGTTTTGGATTTGCTTGTGAACCATGAATCAAATTGAAGTTGGCTCCACATCTTGTTATAGGAGTTCTTTTTATGTGGAAATTATGTTGGTGAAAGTTTTCAAATATGTTGAATTCAAAAATTTTAAATTGCTCATATATTGTTGTCTAATTCTAGAGTCCCACTCAGGCTCTAATATGTGGAAGACATTTTGTCCTATTCTTTTTGCGCCCTTGATTCGGCTTTCTTTTTAACTCGTGTTCTTACAACATTAATTTCCTCTTTTGGTTTATAATTAGATCCGAAAAATAAAAAGCTGTATGTTTTGTTTGAAGATAATTTTCTGTATGACCACAATTTGCTTCTAACACATTACAAAAGTCACATTCTTGCATGCCTTATTTCATTTTGTGCAGCAATTTTTGACTGACTTCCTACTTGACAGCATATAAGAAACTTCTATATCTACTGGGTTCTGATTTTAATTCTTACTTGATAAAGATCGTCATTGTTTTTGCAGTTATTGAGTGTGCTGGCTTTTATACTAATGATGCTAGGAGAAGAGTTTATCGTGCACGGTTTTCTTCAGTTACTGAGAAAGACATCCTGAAGGCAATGGACAATCTTGTTGAACCAAACAAAGATGAAGCATTGGCTGTAGATGCTCGGCAAGAGATAGATTTAAAAGTTGGTGTTGCATTTACTCGGTTTCAGACTAGTTATTTCCAGGGAAAATATGGGAATCTTGATTCCAGAGTTATCTCGTTAGTTCTCTCCTCTTTATTTGCATGTCCTGTTTGTGTAATTGTTAAATTTTCTTTAGGATTTTATTATGTGAATTATTTTGGTATTTGCAGGTTTATTTTTGTCTTATCTAGATTTATATGGTGGAGTAATTTAGCATAGTAGAATTATGAAGGATTGAGAAATTGCTGCACTACGTCCAAATCCTCTAGGAATAAGTTGACCAAGGCCATTTGACTTGTAGATTTGTCTGGTTGCTGCTGGAAAAATTCCAGCCGTCGTCCAAGTTTTTCTGAGAACTCGGATTCCTGATTGAACAACCCAAACTTTAATTATCTCCTTGACATAAAATGATATTTCAAATTGCTAAAGAGTTTTTAGTCCATGGTTGCGTCTTCATGGTACCAGTTGATTGCACCATCATATATCTAATTTGATTTAATCCAATCTTAGGGGTACCATATTGTTGTCTACAGGTCATACTTCTTACTTCTTCATTGATTATTCTTTGCTTAGGATGAATCTCTTTATCTTCATCCTTATTGTTCATGGTGCTGAATGCTGATATTGCACCTAAAGTTCTCTCTCTCTCTCTCTCTCTCTCTCTTCTTTCCTGTTATTGTCTGCACATATGACATTATTTGAATTGCTTTGATGGTTGTGATTTTTGTGGCATTTGAAGTGTTACTTGATAACTGATCTTAACTCTTAAGAAAAATTTCAACTTGGCATGTAAGATAGTCCCATAAACACGTCCCTGTGCATTGACAATACTGTGATTTAAGGTCATCTAGTGACATTCTAATGGCATTCTTATGTTAATTTTGCTTCATTTCATTGCGTTTCACATTTTATCTTGTTAATTCACATAATTGAATCACATTTCGTATTTCCATAATTATTCTAAATTGCACGTTTTAGGTTGAGTCTGGTTAATTGTTGCAGGTTATATTAGTTCCATCTTCCATTTGAAAGAAATTTTTAATGTCGCTTGTTAATTGGTTGTTTCAGGTATGGCCCATGTCAGACCCCTACTCTTGGGTTTTGTGTGCAAAGATATTTGCAAATTACTACATTCAAGCCAGAAAAGTTTTGGTCGTTACGCCCCCACATTCTAAAGAATGGTTATGAACTTCAGCTAGAATGGGAACGGTCCAAGTTGTTTGATTTGGATGTGGGTCTTTTGCTCAAAATTTAGAACTCTCACCACTATCTCACTGTAAATTTGTAGAAGTGCTTTTTATCAAGTCATTAAATTTTGTTACAGGCTGCAATGATGTTCCAAAAGTTGGTAATTGGTGACGGAATTGTAAAAGTAAGTGGTATATCAGAAAAACAGGAAAGCAAAGGTCGTCCTTCTGGTCTTAACACGGTGAACCTATTAAAGGTTAGAACAATATTGGGTTTCTATTTGCATATTTCTTTTACTGATGTTGATTTTGTTAGACATCTCGAAACTCCTTTTTTGCCCATGATACATTTACTTCTATGGGTTCAAGGAGGAGCTAGTAATCTAAGCTTAGGTGCATTCTCCTTTTAGTTGAGGTAGTCTTTTTTTCGAAATTACATTTGATTAAAAGCAAGGGGTCCAATGAGGAGAGGCCCCGGATGGTAATATTCTGGATGTGGCTTTTAGTATGCCAGGTGGGTTCTTTGTGCTGATGTGCATTGGAGACTATGGCCTATTTCTACGTTGCAGATGCTATCGTTGTAAAATCTGGGAAGTGTCTGATGGAGGGAACATTATCTTTCTGAGCAAGAAAGACAACCCTAACAAGGTGAAATTCAACTATAGTGTCACTGTTGCTGCCTCCTAGGTCTAAATAACTTTCCTCAGAAGCAAATTTAGAATAAAAATGCTCTCCCCTTGAATGCCACCTTTGCATGGAAGAGGATGGGAAGTGGCCTGGTCCAGGATCAAGGCAAATCTAGTAGAAAAATGTTCTCTCTTTGATTGCCACCTTGCATGGAAGACGATGGAGAAAGAAATAAGGAGGGCTTTAGATCCTGGCGATGGACAATTCGAGGAAGAGAGCGATTGGATATCAAGTTAACTGTGTGCAATAAAGCTCCTTTTGGAAAATAGCTTTAGATCTTTACAGTAGAAAAAGAGTTGTGGAGGAGGTATTGGTGGCTAGATACATATTGGATAATCTTTGGTGGGTTGAAAGAAGCTAAGGTCATTTCTTGGAATTTGGAATCCATTTTCTTTTGACACATTGTTTATGTGGAGAGACAGAATCTCCTTAAGCACCTTCTTTTGAGTCTTTTATACAATAGCCTCATGTATGGATGGATGTGACATTTAACTGAACATGCAAGATATGGACATTGCTTTGGGGGAACTTTTGAATGGGTAGTCTAGGATTAGAAGGCCTTGATTTGATGACTCTCAACTACAATAAGTAGTTTGATGTTAGGTATTTCTTTGAAGCTCTTGAACATGTCTAACCTTCTATAAGGAATCCTAGGCTTTGTATATTTCAATTAAAAAAAAAAGGAATCCTAGGCTTTGTATGTTCAATGAAAACATATTCTGATCCAAATTTTGGTATTTATATTTAGTACAGAATGTTTTGATGTGTTTATATTTGAATTGTAGTAAAAAATAAAACAAAATATGAAAAATGATAATGAAAATATGGCACGAGTTAAAAAGAATAAAAAAGTTATTTTTCTTGTGTTTATAATTGAGTATGAAACATACACATCTTTTTTCTTTTTTAAAATAAAAAGTATAAAATGGTATATTAATATGGGGACCAAGAGGGTGCCAACCCACGTGTAAAACAATTTAAAATCTATCAACTTATCAATAAGCTCCTCTAAATTCTCCATCGATCGTAGAGAATGACCCAATAACAAAAAAATTAAGTGCTTGGAACCATTTGTTATTAAAAACATCAAACCTATTCACATCATCCATCCTATCAAAAGCCTTCTTGTTTTTCTCCTTCCACACTGACCAAAAAATAGTGAGCAGTATCAAGTCTGTATATTTACTCCTACTCCTGATGCCTCTCCACGCCTAGGTCTCATCTCTTACTGATCCCTTCATCACCCAATTGATACCTAACAGCCCATAAACAACTAGACATACACATGTTACCATCTATATTTTTATAAGGAATTATATGAATTTAGAGAATGGAAAGTGAAAACATTTTCATGTACAAACTGAGGTCTATTGGTCTTTGGAATCTATTAACAACTTGGGAAAGGAGGAAATATTTAGTAAATCTATTCAACTCTTTTGTGCTTTAGCTTGTCTTAGGTTAAAGCTGGTTTCTTGTGCATGGAGGTGTGTACTTGGGAGGTTTAAGGCCTTAAAGGACATCATATTTGGTTTTACCATCAATATTTTAGATGAGTTGAGGAGAAAGAAACAAGGAGAGCTTTTGATATTATGGAGGGTTTCATTTACCATAAAAGAGAGAAGAGTTCGAAACTTTAGGCCTTATTTAGTTGTAGAAAAATGTTTTGAATTTTATTTTCCAAATTTATGTATGTGTATATACAAAACATGTATAGTTGTTGAGCATGAAAATTTAAGGTTTGAAGATAAATATTGAAAAATATGATATGGATTTGAAATTGTTCTGTATATTTTTCTTTTTTTCATAACTAAATAATTTTTGTATATAAAAATATATGAATTTAGAAATACAAACTCATATTAATTTATGACCAAACAGGGCTTAACTTTTTGTCCAAAACATTTTTTTTTTCTGATTTGATCAGTAGGACTTGTAGTCTACATTTTTTTAAAAAGAGTTTTGTCATGGAATTAATCTTGTATTCATTGATAGAAACCCCTTGGTATCTCATTAATATATTATTTTGCTTCAAAGAAAAAATATTCTTCTTATTTTTTGATGAAGAAGTATGCTTGTCATTTGCATTATTCATTTACAGGGTGGTTTATCCGAACCTACTTCAATGCCTCTATGAAAATGTAAGAGGTTGATATAATTTAGATAATATTTTCAGGTTGCTTCAAGTGCCTTAGGCTTTGGACCTCAAATGGCCATGCAACTAGCCGAGCGCTTGTATACTCAAGGTTTCATCAGGTTTCTTATGACTGTTTCTCTATGATTGATCTGTTTCCATTTTCTGATTTACTGCTGGTAATTCTTTCGGGATTTTTTCATGAGTATGAAAGATCTATTCTATCAGATTTTTAATTTTGTTGATTGACTATGTGAAGCTAGTAAAACAATTTCTCTTTCATTTAGTTCAAACTCATCCCTTTTCAACTTAGTTCTCAGCTTTAATTTTCATATTACTCTTACGATAGAACTAAACAATAATTTGTATGTTTGATCTCATCACTTACTCCTCTCTTGAACTCTCTCGGGTAGGAATTCAAGTCGGTGAGTTGGTAAGTTGGGAAGTCAGTCGTAAACTTACTCCTTCCCTCTTCTCTTTCTAATGTCCACTATGATTAATATAAATTGAATTTCTATCTCCAAAAAATTCAGAGTTGGGTTGAGGGATTTAAAAATACAACTTATGTTCTAATTCTACATGTGGAGACTAAAATGAATATGAATATAGGAACTAAATGTGAATGGAATGGAAATAGAAC